GTAAGAGTCTATGGGGTCTACAGGGTCTCACTATGCAGATTGAACTCGTAGCTATCTGCCTTTGTTCAGCCTCCCAAGCCAAGCATGTGCCACCACGCCCAATCTCCATAGCTATCTCAGCACACCCCAGGGGCAGGGCCGGCACCACATGCCAGGGATCGAACCTCGGCCACTGCATCTGCCTAAGCAGATGCTTGAATCTGCTGAGCTATTTGGCTGGCCCAAAACAATTTTTTTTTTTTTTTTTTGTATTGCAGGGAAAGGTCTACTGGGTGTTCAGGGTCTCATTACTAGATCAGACTCATAGTGATCTGCCTGTTTACAGCCTCCCAAGAGCTGGGATTACAGGTGCATGCTATCACACCCAGTCTCAATTGCCTTCTCAGCATGCCCCAGGGACAGCGCCAGCATGGCAGGCCTGGGGATCAAACCCCTGGCCCCTGCACCTGAGTGCAGGCATTTTAATCTGCTGAGCTATTTGGCTGGCCCTTTTCTTAAAATACTGAATTGTACAGTAATCAGAGATTTTAATGTCTCAGTTTCCTCCACAGACACGTTTCCCAGGGGCTCTAACAGTCAGCACTCCTATACTCTGCCACCAATTTCTGCCACCCCACAAGACAGGTAGAGGAGGTGTCCTTAGAACTCTTGTTTTCTACAAGGGCCTAGAGTACCCAAGAGAGCTTTGTCCAACTCTACAGCTGGTATATGAGCTGCAAACAGGACCAGAATCCACAGTTTCTGAGTCCTGTCTCATTATAAAGCATTTTACATCCTAAGGCTCCTAATTCTTGCCTGAGAAGCCATCAAGCCCCACACTCTGAAGCAAGGCTCTGGTAACTCGATTGTCCTTGCAGTCCTCCCCACTGGTCTCAGGACCTTAAAGTAATCATCTGAGATAGATGCAATGCCTGAGGCCATGGGGAGTAGGGAGCACCCCACAGAGGGGTCTCCCTGACTTCCGACATTGTTCTATGATAATATCACTGCCTTCTAAGCTCTGCTCTTCATCCCTCAAAACCAAGTGCCACAGGGGCCCTAGACATTCTCCACCCACAGCGAAAGAGGACTGAGAATGACTAGAAAGCTGTGCTTGTCCATACCCTACCTGTTGCCTGAAAAGTCTAAACAACAGAAATTGATCTATGGCTACTCCTCCTACTCCAATCCAACTTCATCTCTCCCCACTTGGTACTATTTTGTGCTAACACAGTGTGTTTCTCAAGATATGGAAATATGTGGTCAGGAACTAAAGAAATACCAGCAGGCAGACAGTCAGCTCTTACTGCTGTCAGAGTCATTCCTTCGTCCACACGGAGGGTGTCTGCCTGCAGGTACCAAAATCTTCAGTACTATACAAATGCTGGTTGTATTGTGCAGCTTAAGGAAAAGGTCTATTCATATTCAGTACAGATGCAATGTTTTAAATGCTTCTGATCCATAGTTAGAGAACCCACAAATAGGAAAGGCTAAATGTAATTGATTTTTTTTTCTATTTTCAGCTCTGAAAATGGCTTACAAACTTGAATCACTTATTATGTATTTCATAGGTAAATGCATTTTAGCTTAGGAACTCAGAAAGGCTTACCACGTTCTATCACACTTCTGGGTGGCAGAGACTGAGATCCGTCATGACGCTAACGGCCAGTGGCACACTAACACACATCAGGAAGAACTCACTACATTTAACATCGAGTATATGATCTGTCCATTCTTTAAATGCCATAAACTGTTTAGAGTGACCTTGGAGAATTCCTAGAAGATTCAAATACTGTATTATTCTTATTCTTTTTAAATTTATTTATTAATGTACTTGGTACAGGATGTCACTACACAGCTCAGGCTCATAGTGAACCTCCTGTTTTGAGCCTCCCTAGCACTGGGATTATAGGAGTGCAACACCACACCCAGACTTGTGGCTGGCACAGTGTGCCCAGGGCTCACGGCTGGAGTGACATGTAATGCTGGAGATCAAACCTCAGTCCCTGTGCTTGCCTAAGCAAATACTATATTTCATACTAATCTAAAATTAAGGTATCATGGGAGGTCAGTGAACAGTGTCAAAGTAAAGGTCCATGTGGGAAAACAATAAAAAGGGTTTCTGGGGCCAGGGAGATAGCTCAGCCGGCATAAGCACCTTCCTGGTAAGCACAAGGTCTGGAGTTCAATCCCCAGTACCAAGAAAAAAAAAAAGAAAGGAAAAAAAAATTTCCTAAGAGGCTCTCTGAGGGAGATAGCTCAGTAGAATAAGCACTTGCCTGGCAAGTGCAGGGTCTGGAGTTCAATCCCCAGTACTGCAAAAAAAATAGAAGGTCTCTGAACATAATTACAGAAAACAAACATAGTGCTTAGCCTGATTATCATTATGTACTCATGTCTATCTGACCCCTCTACTAAAAAAAAAAAAAAAAAAAGAAGAAGAAGAAGCAAAAATACAGTCCCAGGGACTTTCTACAGAGTATTAATAACTTAACACATCTTCCTACAAAGTTATTAAGTTATCACTACCTAATACAAAGTATTATTAATTTAATTGCTTCTATGAGTAGTGAGGGAAGAAGGGAGCAGAACAGGGAATAATAGAACAAGGAGTGTTCTCTGGGAACAAGAAGACTTGCTCAAAGCTGGGCTTGTAGCTCAGTAACAAAGTACTTACCTTAGTACCTGGCCCTGAGGTCAATCACACTGTCTCCAAATCATGCTGAGACATGAGGAGAGGAAATACTGCCACCCTAAATCTTAGATCTACTGTATTTTGAGTTGAGTTATTTTTCCTCCCAAGGAATAAAAAATAGAAGAAAATGAACAATCTATTTCAAAGGCTTCTTTGTTGTAGGAGGACAGCACGGCTTTCCTGGGGGTGTGTTCTGAATTCCCCGGTGGCTCAACCGCAAAGGCCCCTCAGGGTGCAGGCTCCACCTCTTAACGGGCACTAGCCGTGCACGGATGGCCAGAGCCTCGCTCTTGCTTCCAGGTCCACAGCACATAGCCAGGCCTGGCTCCAGGCCCCTGGGAACAGTGTGTGCAGACACAGGATCAAAGTGAGGCTGGGACGCCATGAGACTTCCCCAAAAGGCCTGGAAGACACTAGAGAGGGACTTCCATGTGCCGGGAATGCCCTGGAGCAGATGTCCCTCTGGTGAAGTCAGTGAGGTGCACTCTGATGGTCTATGCGCCATTCCTGTTTATGTGTTATATATAGTTCAATAAGAAATTCACACACAGAGAAAAGTTAAGAAAAGAAGCAACAGAAGTAAATGCAAAAATGTACTTTGTGTGTGTATTTTTTTTTTTTTTTTTTTTTGCAGAACCGGGGATTGAACTCAGATCCTTGAGTTTGCCGGTCAAGCACTTATCCTACTGAGCCATCTCCCCGGCCCCTGAGTGTGTATTTTTAATGGACTCGTGAGAATCAGTTAGAGATAGGTCCTGATGTTTAGCAAGGAAACAGCAGAGATAGAGCCAGAGAACACTGTTTCCACTCAGAAATAATCTCAAAACTTAAAGTAGTTGTCATCTGACCCTCAAAAACTCTGACCAAAGGAAGCAACATCAGATTTGAGCATTCTGAGCATCCTTCTAAGGCCTGAGAGAAACAGTCAGGGCCTGAGCTGGTTGGTTCCACTGTTGTTGCAATGATTTTTGGGGGGAACAATCTGCTCAGGCCCCCCTCCTGTCCCTCTCTTGGACAGGAGCATTCTTTCTCTTAATAAATATATTCTGCTCATAACCTCAAAAAAAAAAAAGAAAAAGAAAAAGAAATGATTTTTTTTTTCCTTTTCTCTTTCTTTTAAGAACTACATGACTTTTTAAAGTCATCTGCACCCTGGGATAGAGGAGGAGGGTGTGAAGGAAGAGTATGTGAATCCTTAAAGCTGATTTACACAGGGGATTACTTGTTCCCCGGGGACAAACTGGGAGGCACCAAAATGCTCACAGAGCCAAAGCATGCAGGTGTCAGGGCGAAGCCTGCCTACCACACTAGCCAGACACCCTGGCTCTTGGCAGAGCTGGTCCAGATAACACTGTCTGCCACTTAGACACTTCATTCTCTGTCATCACAGCTTTCAAATTCTTCATCTGTTCTTTACTTTGAACTCGTCACAGGATGCTCTTTAAAACAGGTACACAACCTCATCTTCCCAGAAGTCCACTCCGGTATTGCTATCCCCAAAAATGCAGGTCTACCCCCTATACTCTCAGACTCTCAAAATGTATCTGATCAAGATCTATCCTATTTTTCATTTTAAGACAAATACTCCTCAGAAAGCTTTGACAAAAAGAATAGAGACATTAAAGAAAATGTGAATGGATAAACATCCTCCAAACTATAGATATAGGCTGAATGGCCATCCAGGGTACCCTGTTTTCACACATCATTTCTCAGGGGACTTCACAGCATCTTGCCTGGCATTTCCAGCAGTCACTTAGAATTGGCCACTGAGAAAAGATGACAATTAATTTAGTTTCCAACTATTTTCTCATTGACCTTCACTTCTCATTATTCAAACACACTTTCAGACATCATTCCTAAAAGAGATGTCCTTGGGGCACTGAGACTAAAAGCACTTTCTAACCCCAAGTGACTTCCATAAAAAGGTGGGGAACACATCAACACAAAATAAAGTATACACACAGTATAAGGTGACACGGTAATGTAGAGTTCCTAATGCCATGGAAGATGCTAAGCTTGTGCGTGGTAGCGCATGACAGACTTTGTGCAGAGGCAGAGCCTAAGCTGGGGATGAGGGGGAAGGTCGACAAGAAGGGATTTAGGCCAGGCCCAGCAAGACAGCACCCCGGAGAAAAACACAAGGGCAACTCAACCACAGACAATCCAATGTAAAACTGGGAAAAGACTTAAACATTGCTACCAAGATACACAAGTGGCCACCAAGCTGATGACAATATGCTCAACATCACCAATCATGAGAGATGCAAACCAGCTCCATTAGGATGCCACTATTTAAAATAGGTCAGGCAGGCAGAGGGCTCATTGGGAAAGCACGTATTCATGATGTACAAGGCCACGGATTCAATTCATACCACTGAAAAAGACAATCTTTGCAAAAGATGTGGTGAAACTGGAACCTCTGTGTGCTACAGGTGAAATAATGTGGGCTTTTTGAAAAACAGTGTGGAGGTTTCTCAGAAGCTAAAATTACTGTATGATGCAGTAGCCCTACTGCTGGGTATATAACACAACAAATTAAAGCAGAATCTCAAAGAGTTATTTGTAGATGCTTATTTATAGCACCATTATTTACAACAGCCAAGAGACAGAAGCAACACAAATGCCCATCAGTGAATAAGTTCAGAAAATGCAGCATATACACACAAGAAATATTGTCCCACCTTAAGTAAAGGGAATCCTATCATATGCTCCAATATGGATGAACCTTGAGGCCATTCTGCTAAGTGGAAGAAACTTGTCATAAAAGGACAAATACTTCGTGACACCACTTATACAAGATCTAACATTAAACTCTTAGTATAGAGATGTAAATTGGTTGCCAGGGACCAGGGGAAGAGAAAAAAGGAAGATGAACTCTGGACATAGAGCTTTGGGTTTGCAAGATGGAAAAGCTCTAGAGCTCTGTTGCAAAACAACATGCACATAGTTAAGATTACTGTTCTATATGCTTTTTTCAAAAGGTCAAGATGATACATTGTATGATGCAAGTTTTTGTTCATAATTGGAAACAAAAAGAATGAGAACAGCAGATGCTCTCGGGTGCCCCTTCTTCTCCAGGACCCATACATAGTGGCTTTGTGATGGGTGATGTCATTATTGCACAAGACTTAAGCAAAATAGCTCTGTGCACAATTAATGAGGCAGGATTATCCACCATGCCACTACTTACGAATACTCTGCTTTGCCTGCTTGGCTTCCTTGGCTAAATCTTCCTTGTGCCCCTCACTGCTGCTCATGTCCCTGGAGACAGCCCCTTCTTGGATTTGTCTGCGGTGATGCAGAATCTCTCTCTTGCTGTCTCTCTCTCCAGCTTGCTCGCTCACTGGCTCGCTGTCCCTCCCTTCCTCCCCTTCCCTCCCTTTCCCTCCTCTCCCCTCTCTTTTGCTCCCTTCCACACCCCTCCACTCCTCTCCCCTCTCTCCCCTCTCCTGTGTTCTCTTCCCCACCACCTTTGGAAACAAGTTCTTGGCCACCACATCACCATTACCCACTGAAGAGAAGAAATACCTTCACGGGAGCGAACTCTGGCCTAGGCTCAATGTCTCCAGAACACCTTGCGTTGTGCTGCCAGAGCCCACCCTCTTCTCTCTGTTCTGCATCACTACTTCAGCCGCTCTTTGCTTTATAGATGTGCAGATTCTTCTCTTTCTTTACCCAAGATGGCAGGCAAGAATTCTGACCCTTTTGGAGCCAAGTTATCTAGTCACCCATGGGGTTAGGCCACCATGCATAAGAGAATGTGACAGCTTTGTCAGGGTCCAGTGCCTCCCCCACAGTGATTAAAGAACTGAAATCAACACAAACAACAGGCTTGGGGGTGGGGGTTACTCAACAGGATCTACAGGGGGTTCCAGTTGGGAGGCCCTGCAATGCTGGCCCTAGTATCTGGCTGCCTCCTCCCTCCCAAGGGGCCTGACTAAGGGGAAACACTTAACTACGCTGAGGAGGGTAGAAGCCAGATGAACATCTTCTGCTATAGAGAAGTTTAGTGTAAATATGAGTTCCTCAGAGAGAGGAAAGAACCATTTTACTTAAATTCTCATGGAAAAACTGTTTGCCTAGGGATAAAATATACATAAAACCTTCAGCTATATAGTTTTGGCCCAAAGGAATCCCTCAATAAATGACAGCTACTTTATTTTCCTTTCTTGATCTTTTGCTTTTTAAGAAAAATCTTCTTACAGATTTCAAGAAAAACCAATGGCAGAAGATGCTCATGGAGTCACAGTAGTTACCCTGGGAGACGGGTCGGGGGTACTGATTGGCGGCTGAGGGAAAGAGGAAACCCTCCAGCGTATGAGCCGTGCGGAGCCTGAACACACACGTGTGAAACAGTCGCCAAGCTGCACACTGTAGCTGTGGGTTTTAATAGAAGATTTGAAAGAAGGGGGGAAACAGAAAGCAACAAAATTTTCTAAGATGACAGAAATGTTCTCTCTGTGTTGTCTAAAACAATATGACACAGTAAGCCTATGTGACTACTGACCACTTAAAATGTGCCTAATGTGGGTGAAGACCGAATTTTAATTTTGAAAAATTTAAATAAATTGTGGCTGGTGGCTAGCTCACTAGACCTACAACTGCAGGTCAGTGTGAGTCTCAATAACAGAGACTTTCTTCTTTTCCTCAAAGCACTTAGTGGGTCAGAACACATCATATGCATTTTGGAAGCCAAATAATAACTAATTAAAAATAACATGTAGATTACCAGGCTCAATGGTACATCCCCATAGTCCTGGTACTCAGGAGGCTGAGGCAGGAGAATCACTTGAGCCCAAGAGTTTGGGGCTAGCCCGAGAAATACAGGGAGACCCTATCTCTCTTTTTCTAATCAACTATTTTATAAAATGTAATAGCATATAGGAATAAATAAGAATGAACCACTGATAACACCAATATGGATGAATCTCAAAAATATCTTCCTTTTAAAAAGGCTTACACAAAAGAGCACATTCTGTAGGAATGCATTTACTTAAAATTCTAGAAAAAGCAAAAGTAATGTATGGTACTCTCTATCACAGCAGTGGCCAACTCAGAGGTAGAGGAAGTTGATGAGACCAGGCTTAGAGAGCTTTCTGGGATGATGGAAATAATCTATGTCAGATATAGGAGTGCGATACAGCTGTATCCGCCTGCCAAAACACAAACTGTGATCTTAAGATTTGTGCAGTTTATATAAATTATACATCTATTTATTATATCTCTTTTATAAATAAGAAAAAACTTAAGGAATGGGTGATATTTACACATTGCTTGCCATATACATTTTATTATTTTTCAATAGCCATATTTTCATGCCACACGACAAACATTAATATTTGGAGCCAAGTTATCTAGTCACCCATGGGGTTAGGCCACCATGCATAAGAGAATGTGACAGCCACACGACAAACATTAATATTTGGCAGGTAAAGACAGGTCATTCGTATGAGCTCTGTCACTTTCCTAAAGAGTCAGGGTCATACACACTTAGGTGCCAGCCACCACTTGTCCCTGAACCCTCCAGGAGGCCTTACCAACACACGGCCATCTGCACCTGGCTGCCGGGCCAGGCTCACCCCCATCCACTCATCATCCCGGTCCTCCCGACAGGTCTTTCCGCAGGGTGTACCCCGATTCTTCCCTGGAAGAGAGAAATCAGACTTGGATGGAGTAATGATCTCCACAAAGCACACAGCTCAAATGTTAGGTGTTACCTACATGGAAATAAGAAACTTACAACACAATGTCAATCAACTCTAGGAACTTATAACAAAATGTAAATCAAGGCAACCACCAAGTACACAGCTTAATCCAGCCAATTTCTTCATAGAAAGTCTCTCAATGCATGACATGCAGGAGCAAGGTCCTGTTTTGTCTTGTACAGTAACAACCAGTTCTCACACCAGTCGTCCTGAGTAGCCCTAGCAAATGCTCCTGACACCTTCCTTCTGCTGAAGAAAATCATAATGACTCTTATTTAATAATAAGAAGAAGAAGATCTCAATATGAACAAACTTTGGAGAAAGTAAAAACTTGAACTGATAATTACAATAAAACAGCTATTTATCAAGCACGGTTCTGTGTACTTGCCTCTATTGTCTCATTTGGTCTTCTAAAGTGAATCCTTGTAAATAATCTTGATCTTAGTTTTAGAGGGAGTTGAAACCCAAGAAACTATAAAGACAGTCTAGCCAGATCCATCTGATTTCAAACATGTATTTTCCATGAAATAAAAATAAGCTTTTAAAAAACATTCATTTAACAATCTCTTCTTTGCTTACTTAAAATATAAAATCTAAAATTGATCTTCAATACTACCTATAGATAGAAAAACAGTGCAACACCTAACCCTGGCTCACATGGGCCAGTGATCTCACCCCAGTCTACTTACCAACCTAACCTCCTCCACTCACCACTGTCCTCCCTCTGGACTTCAAGGTACCGCCCCTATCCCAGAAGGTTCCGCCTCTCAGACCTTCCCAGCTAACTACTATGCAGTCTTCTCATCCTCAGGGGACCTTTTCTGACTCTCCAGTTTAGGCTTAATCAAATACCCACCTTCCCTCTGGTCTTCTCTCAATTAAATTGTCTTAATGTCTTTTTTGACCACTAACTTTCAAGACCTAGGATGACAAGACTTTTTGTTCACCAGTGTATCCCCATGCTTAAGGGCTAACAGGTACTCAGTACACATCTGTGGGAGAAAATGATGAATGTACACATGGACAAATAGGCCAAGGATCAGGCTGCCTCAGCAAGAAAAACAGCAAAGGGCAGAATCCACTTCCATCGCCACCCACCTCGAGCCATGTCCAGTTCGGTGCATCTCCGGTCAGGGTTGGTGTGTACACGGCACTTAAACACGGCCCCAGGGGACTTAACTGAAGTACTGTATTTGGAATCTGCCTTCGGTGCACCCACGAGGATCCTGTGTATCAAGAGGAAAAAGCCTTCTGTCACAGCACAATACCAGAGAAGAGGAGGCAGATACTTAAATACTCACCCAGGTGTGAGTGAGCAATCTGAATGCTCACTGGGAAGCCAGATTTAATTGTGTATCCACGTGCCATAGTTGAGGGTGTTAGTCTAGGTACATTAAAGGGTTAAAGGAAGGCAGGACATATGACTCAGTGGTAGAGCATCTGCCTACAATATATAGGGCCCAAGGTTCCATTTCCAACAGCATTAAAAGGAGGAGGAGGAGAAAAGGAGGAACAGGTGGCAGTGAAGGAGGAGGAAAGAAGGAAGGAAGAGGGGAGGAAAGGGGAAATGGAAGGGAAGGAAGGAGGGAGAGAGGGGGAAAAGAAGGAGAATGTAAGGGAAGGGAAGAGAATGGAAGCGAAGGGAAGGGAAGGGAAGGGAATGGAAGGGAGGAAGGCAGGAAGGAAGGGAGGAAGGAAGGAAGGAAGAAGGAAGTTAATTAGTTAAAGGATAAAGGCTCAGGGTATAGCTTGCCTAGTATGCACCAGGCCCCAGGGGAAGAAAAGCTTAAGGGATAGCTCAGAACTTGTAAAAACTAACAAAAGGGCTGGAGAGATGGCTCAGTGGTCTAAAGCACCTACTTAGAA